CCCCCCCCCCCACCCAGTTCCTCACATCTTCTTGTCAATTGCTGGAAATGGGCCATTTTCATTACCACTACAAACAGTTCTTTTTCTCTCCTGGTGATGATAGCTCACCTTAACTGATCACTCTCCTTATAGTGTGTATGGTAACACTCATTGTTTCATGTTCTCTGTGTGTATATATATCTTCCTACTGTATTTTCCACTGCATGCATCCGATGAAGTGCGCTGTAGCCCACGAAAGCTTATGCTCAAATAAATTTGTTAGTCTCTAAGGTGCCACAAGTACTCCTGTTCTTTTTTTTTTTTTTTAAGTTTGTTTACATTTATGGGAGATACTGCTGCTTGCTTCTTATTTACAACGTCAGCTGAAGGTGAGAACAGGCGTTTGCATGGCACTTTTGTAGCAGGTGTTGCAAGGTATTTACGTGCCAGATATGCTAAACATCTGTATGCCCCTTCATGCTTCGGCCACCATTCCAGAGGACATGCTTCCATGCTGATGACGCTCATTAAAAAAATACGTTCATTAAATTTATGACTGAACTCCTTGGGGGAGAATTGTGTGTCTCCTGTTCTGTTTACCTGCATTCTGCCATATATTTCATGTTATAGCAGTCTCGGATGAGACCCAGCATATGTTCATTTTACAAAGAAGGTACCAATGTGAGATTTCTAAAAATAGCTACAGCACTCGACCCAAAGTTTAAGAATCTGAAGTGCCATACAAAATCTCAGAGGGACGAGGTGTGGAGCATGCTTTCAGAAGTCTTAAAAGAGCAACACTCGGATGCGGAAACTACAGAACCCGAACCACCAAAGAAGGAAATCAACCTTCTGCTGGTGGCATTTGACTCAGATGATGAAAATGAACATGCATCAGTCCGCTCTGCTTTGGATTGTTATCGAGCAGAACCCGTCATCAGCATGGGCACATGTCCTCTGGAATGGTGGTTGAAGTATGAAGGGGCATATGAATCTTTAGCACATCTGGCACGTAAATATCTTGTGATGCTGGCTACAACAGTGCCATGCAAATGCCTGTTCTCACTTTCAAGTGGCATTGTAAACAAGAAGCGGACAACATTATCTCCTGCAAATTGTAACCAAACTTGTTTGTCTGAGCGATTGGCTAAAGTAGGACTGAGTGGACTTGTAGGTTCTAAAGTTTTACATTGTTTGATTTTTCAATGCAGTTATTTTTTTGTACATAATTCTACATTTTTAGGCTCAACTTTCATGATAAAGAGATTGGTATTAGGTGAATTGAAAAATACTGTTTCTTTTGTTTTTTACAGTGCAAATATTTGTAATCAAAATAAATGTAAAGTGAACATTGTACACTTTGTAATCTGTGTAATTGAAATCAATATATTTAAAAATGTAGAAAACATCCAAAAATATTTAAATAAATGGTATTCTATTGTTTAGCAGTGCAATTCATCACAATTAATTTTTTTAATCGTATGATTAATCGTGGTTTTTTTTAATCGCTTGACAGCCCTAGTAAATTTACAATATTAATCCAATCACAATTCTTTGAAACAACAAAATAACTGACATTCGAGGTGGGGAAATGTCAGGGAAAACATAAATTCGGAGCAGCTCCTACAGTCAGAGGGGACCCCAAAAGGTTAGTTTCACATTCCTCCCCTAAAGAACTACCAGACATCACTCCTTTTTCCCTGTTAGTTGTAATCAGTTTGATGCCTCCAGAACGTTTTCCCCTTCAGCCACAGATGTAGAAAATCTATTTTTCTCATTTCTTAGTTAATAGAAGCCAGTCCAGAAGGACAGAGGTTTATTCCATCTTTCACTTTCCCTCATATGATGAAAGATGATTGGTTCAGTGTAGGCAAGCAGCTGTTTTGCATGTGGATGTCAGTTGTGGTATAAATCTTTCCCACTTGTACCAAAATGCTTGTATAAAAAGCAGCTCTTTACAGATCATCTTCATTAAAACTGAATTTCAGATTAAACTTTTTTTAATCATTTAAACACAAATTCTAATTTTTTCTTTTAAAAGGTTTATCTAATGTAAGGGGTATTTTCTAATGTGATGTTCTATGTTTAATATATTTTATGGTCCAGAATGAGAGTGAAGAAGTTGCCCATGATTCTAGCTCTGCACTTAAAAAGGTTCAAATACATGGACCAGCTGCACCGATACACCAAACTCTCCTACCGTGTAGTCTTTCCCTTGGAGCTTCGGCTCTTTAATACTTCAGGAGATGCTACAAACCCTGACAGAATGTATGACCTTGTGGCTGTAGTTGTTCACTGTGGCAGGTATGTCTCCAATGCTTTCTGAGTTTTACATGAGTTTCCATGAAAATTAACTCACCTGGTCATTCATGTACATTTGAATACCACTGCAGCAGCTGACAATGGAGAACAATCTCAGCAACATCTAAGCTAATCAACTGAAAGAATAAAAAGGTTTTTACATGTTTTTACATTTAAACATATTTTTGAAAATATTTTCAGCCTATTTTTCTATACAGAGTGCACAGTCTCAGCCTTGCTCTTTTTATATAGCTTTAAAACATGCTAAAGCTTCCAGGAAAGCTAAATGAAATAAAGGAAATCTTGGAAAAACAAATTTCTCAAAATAGAATCCGTTTGTATGTTGCCACTTGCTAGATCATTACATTTTTTTAAAAAATGCTGGTGCCACCAAGTGGTTAAATTGCATACTGCTTTTTAAATCAGCTGCGCAGTTTTGATCCAGCATTATTAAAATTTAATTAAAATAATTGAAAAACGAATATTTTGTTTAAAAAACTTGATGCAAATAGAAAAGCCTTTGCGAACACTGCATTATGTAAGAAAAGATCAAATGTTATTCACAGAAGTCAAAAATGGGGTATGTTTATACTATGTTGAGACTGTGCTAGTATAGCTATGCCGGGATAGCCCTGTAGAGTAGACACAGCCTACACCAACAGAAGAGGTTTTTCTGTTGGTGTAGGGACACCTGTGCGAACAAAGCTAGCTGTGTCAAAAGAAGACTATTCGGGTCAATATAGCTGTGTGTATGCTGGGGGTTACGTCAGTATAGATATGTCGGTTGAGGTATGGTTTTTTTACAACCCTGAAGCTATGCTGATATTACGCTTCAGATTAGACCAGGCTTTAGGATGGGATGGTCGGGGATTATTTGTTCTTTGTTTTTTTTTGGAGTGGGGGGTAAATCTTAAAGTAGTTGGAAATCTAGCATAAGGTCCATAGAATATTTCCAAAGTATCAGTGTCAAAATTAGAGAGCCAACAAAACCAACACATGCCGGTGTCTGTTGAATTTATTTACGCTGTCTGTGCTGTACGTTTCTGATATTGTGATATAGTTCTGAAATACATTTTCATACAACGTACTGATGTTGCAAAAGAAAGGATCCTGTCCAAACTTTCTCTTGTGAGTTTGCAGGGCTGGATCCTAAGTTTGCTAGCTGTGACACACATTCCAATAAGCATAAATATAGCTTTCAGTAATGACACATAGAAATGGCGGTCAATGTGACTTTGTCTTATTGAAGGGGTCAGCAGCTGTGCTCTAGAGCTGTTGTTTTGTAAACACTGGCTTTTTTAGGAGTTCCACAGCTCTGTTGTAAACTTGTATCAGGCTGGAACCTAACATACTAGGATAGACCAGGTACAAATTTATTTTCTAAATATTTTAGATCTTTTAAAACAGCTGTTTAAAATGTTTTGCGTTGATAACTTCACTTTAATTTACCTATTCTAAACAAAAAAAGGCTTCATTCTAAAGCAGAAATTGTTAATTCCAGTCAGTTTATAACACTGAATGGGGCTACAGAATCACTTTCCCCATACACAGTAAAGTCCTTTAAAAAAGCTATGTTATTTTATGTTTGTGTTGTTCAGTTCCTAAATGAAACACAAAATAAAGCCAGAAAAAGTGAGAGTTTAGTTTCTTGTTTTATCCTTAACTTGCTCCCTCACTGTCTAAGGTCAGCAGTTGGTGGCTTACCTAGTGCTAGTGTACATTAAATTATAAATAAATAAATGGAGATATCCTATCTCCTAGAACTGGAAGGGACCTTGAAAGGTCATCGAGTCCACCCCCTGCCTTCACTAGCAGGACCAAGTACTGATTTTGCCCCAGATTCCTAAGTGAATTGCCTCACGACCCTGGGTTTAGCAGGCCAATGCTCAAACCACTGAGCTATCCCCCCCAAAAAATTCCTTGTCCCAATCTACTTCCTTTGCAACCCTTACCCATCTGGTCTGGCTCTTGTTCACTCTGCATTTGGATCTGGCAGCTTCCTCCACCACACTTCCAACAGGAGAGTACTGAGAGCACATGCAAGAGGGTCTCTCTGCACTCTGTTCTGGTGATAGTGCCACAATAATGGGGAGCAGCAATTGCACAGAAAGTCTAGCTGAGTGGTGCCTGCAGCCCTGGTCTGAAGCATGCTCAGTACAGATGGAATCTTCAGAGAATGTAGCTGTCAAACTCTGACATGTCTCTATTGAGCAAGCACAAACTAAGATTTTTTTTCTCCCAAAGGTTTGTAACTTGGCTGATTTGGGCATTTTTTCATGAGAATCACTAATGGCACATTCTTGTTACTAAATATCAAGTCCTTGCTCCAAAGCAGAGACCCTAAAGCTTCTTACCCAAACCATTGTATGGATTTTTGTTATGTGGTCAGAACAACATATTTATTGCCCCTAACCTTGTTCTCAAAAATGGCCGAACCATTTTTGCTGAAATTTTATTTTCTTTATTTTTAAGTAAATCTGAGGTAGATACCCAGTATGTTAAGGTTTGGCAAACTGTTATGGTTGGGCAAAGTTATAGGCAATTGAAAATAAGGTCTTACACTGGAAGAACCTTAACTATAGGTGGCACTATCAGCTCCATCTATAATAGCTTGAGTTATTTACAGATGTTTTGGTTTTCATATGTAGGCATCAGTGTAATAAATCTTTGACCTTTTTTCTGGCAGCGGTCCAAACCGTGGACATTATATCACCATAGTGAAGAGCCATGGCTTTTGGCTGCTATTTGATGACGACATTGTAGAGGTAGGTAAACAGATTGCTTTTATGTTGTGAGAACAGTATGGACAGTGCCATTTTCCAGCTATGTGCAGGGATCCTGTTTCACTATCTAGGAATTCATTTTGCATCCATGAAAGATTTATAACAAAATATGTGTATGGGGCATCCTCGAGTTCTGAGCAGATTTGTGTATATATAATTGACTTGTAGAACCGTGCTCAACTGAGGGGCTGCATTAATCACTTGGCAGAAGACTGAGGATGACATCTATTTGGTACAACCACAACTGTTCTGTTAAGAATGTAAAACACCAGGGTATTTTTTCCCACATCTCAGGCTCTCTCGAGACCAGTTTGCTTTCTAGAGTCAGTGGCTTGATCCTAAATATTTCTGATGGCTGTAGCTCAACACTAAATTCAACATCCTTTCATCTTCTTTTGTAGGTTAAGAGTAGGTAAAAGGAAGGATTCTTGATTTTTGCCACAGACAGGTAGCAAGATCTGTGGAAAGAGTTAGAAAATCAGAGACTTGTGAGCACATGGTTAGTTAGATACTGAAGATATCCATAGGATTTCTGATCTTTAGATATACTCTAGCTAAAATAAACTTATTTTGTACTCCACAAAATATCTTGCCTATAAATGTTTTGAGTATGTATCTAAAATATATATACACATGAACATGTGGCAGCATTTTGTTGTATATCCCATTGAGTTGTATTTTAAAAACATGAAGGTTTATCTCTTGGCCTTTTTTAGATCACTCCTTAAAATAAGTCCAAACTCTGATTAGTAATAGCACCAAGGTAGAATCATAGAATATCAGGGTTGGAAGGGACCTCAGGAGGTCATCTAGTCCAACCCCCTGCTCAAAGCAGGACCTAATCCCAACTAAATCATCCCAGCCAGGGCTTTGTCAAGCCTGACCTTAAAAACCTCTCAGGAAGGAGATTCCACACCTCCCTAGGTAACCCATTCCAGTGCTTCACTACCCTCCTAGTGAAAAAGTTTTTCCTAATATCCAACCTAAACCT